TGTAGTATCAAGGTAGAACCTATGGTAGCTGTTTTTTCCCTAGAGGACAAAAACCGAAAAATTTAGGCCATGTCTTGATCGGATTTAGGTGTACCTAAATGTGTATACCCATGTGTACCCGACCAAGCGTTGAGAGAGTAAATTAGAGTCGGACCAGGTTTTAATTTTAAATAGATAGGAAGTTACAGTTGCATGAAGAGTTGCAATATTACTGTTCCTCCAGGTTATACTGGTATCATCACCAAAAAGAAAAATATTTCCATCGATTTTTAAATTTTGATGTCATTTATAAAAATAAGGAAAAATAGGGGACCCAATACTGAACCTTGTGGTACTCCACATACAATGCTTTTGTGACTAGAGTCAGTATCATTTGCTCTAACTAGTTGTATTCTATTCCTCAAGTAAAATTGAAACCAATTCAAAGAAATACCTCGAATTTCATAGAAGTTTAGTTTTTTATCAAAATGTCGTGATTTACACAATCAAAAGTTTTGGCATAGTCAGAAAAAACAGTGGCGGTGAAATATTATTGTTTAGTGCTTGATAGATAGACCTCATGTAATACAGAAAACATAGCATCGCTGGTCCATTTAATAGATAAAAAGCCGAACTGACTTTGTGATAAAATGTTGTTTTCAACGAAAAATGCATAAGGCGGACCTTTATGAGTATCTCCGGTAGTAAGGCAATAGGTCTATAGTTGCAGACATTCGATTTTTCACCACCCTTATGAAGAGGAATAATATTGGTTGTCTTTAGGCACTCTGGAAATATACCCTTTTCAAAGAAATCAATAATTAGTGAGACCAGGACTTAATACAGTTTTTGGGAGATTTCAAATTTTTTTATGGATAGGCCATCAGTACTAAAGGAAGATTTGCTCTTGATACTACTGATTGTTTGGATCATTTCAGATTTATTAACTGGTCTTATAAAGAATAAATTCGAGCCTTTTTTGAACTGGGGAAATAGGAAATAGGATCTAGTTGTGGCAAAATAATTGATGTAATTTTACTCACATTAACGAAGTATTCATTTAGATTTTTAGAGTTTGGAAGAGAAAATATTTGAACTGTGTTGATTTTATTTCGAAAATCGTTTACCATAGACCAAGTTCCTTTTGCAAAATTTTTAGAGCTTTTCAAGTGATTTTGATAGTACATTTTATTTACTGTTTTGATAAGTTTTAAATAAGTTTCTCTGTACTTGGAGATAATGTATTCAGTAACAAAGACGTTGATAGGAAATTTCTTGATATACAGTAGTGAACGCATATTCTTGGCTGATATGTGGATATCTCTGGTAGTCCAGGGTTTGATGACTTTATAGTCATCAATTGAATGAGCCACATACTTGAGATACTTTTTCGAATTTTTCAAAAGTAAAAGGGGAAAAACAATTTGGATTTAGAAATAGTTTAGGAATTAGAAACCTATGAACTAGGGAGGTACTATTGTGTATGCGCATTCTCTTACAAAAAAGTTGTGAGTTTCCAAAGAACGTGTATGTTTGTTTCATGAACTTTGATAAGCCAATATAAGAAGGAGATAATCAGAGTAATTCGGCCACACAATTGTCAATATATTTCCACTTTTACCTTTACCACCTATATTATTTTTACATAAATTGACATCTTTTTGACGGTTGTTTTCTCTTTAGAATAAGTTCACATTCATAATAGTCTAGATGCTAGAAGACATACTGTGTCACTCATACATAACAGGCTACAATTTTCAGGATAGCTTCATAAGACCTCGATCCCCAAATATCTCCTGGGATACTTTCTGTACCGGGTGCTTTTTCTCTCCAGCTTATCCAAAAGTGGTCAGTTTGAAGTGATGTATCAAATTTAATAATACCGTATTGATGTTTAATGAATAGAAAAGTCAACTTCGTGAAGTATCCGAAAAAAATCTTGTAAGACAAAAATTTTCGTTCCATAAGGGAGTCCACCAAATTAAACATGCCAAAAAAACAAATGCAAAAAATTTAGTAATAACAAACTGATTTTTTCTGTATCGTTTAAAAATAACACAAGATGTACACGCCGATTTTTCCGTCCGACAGTGAAAATCGGCTTTTCCACGGGTCTGTGGAAATATAATAATAACGTGTTTTTGTTCTGGTTTTTAGTTTTTAACTGAAGATTAGAACTTAATAAATGAATTGTCAAACAAAAAAATAGGGCCTTTTATGTAAAAATTTTAAAAAAATACAGTCGAGATTACTTGTTTCTAGAATGTGTGAACACTAAAATTGTAGATACATCATATTTATTAATAACGAGCTGATTTTTTCAAAGCTGTTTTATAAAATCTCCTATAGAAGATCATGTATACAACATATCTTCTGGGCAAACAGTTTTCAACGATATTTACAATTTCTTGCCATCCGTTGAAAGTAAAGGCAATGAACAGCGTTTTAATTTTATTTTAGAAACCTTACAAGCATCAGAAAGATTTGATAAAGCAATTAAAAAAGATACTATCATAAACTTTGCTTTTAAAAATACGAAAAAATTCAAAATTAATGAGAAATTATAAGAAATAAAAAATTAAAAATTATATTTTTGGATGATTATTGTACGCAGCATTGCATAATATCATTGATTTAGAAAAAGCATTAAGTGATCCTTTAACCCCTGTACCATTTTCTTTGTCACGTAAATGGCACAATTTGCAAAACTCTGAAATCTCTTATTCTAAAAAAATTGCATAATCACCCAAATGCAGTTATTAATCCTTCAGTGCCTGACATTACTATTTATGATGGATTTTACTTGCTACATATTTAAATAAGATTACCTCAAAAGTATGCATCAATTTCTAAATACATTTTTAAATTTCTACTCTTTGAAAGAAAAGAATATTTGACAAATACAACTATTAAAGACCCAAACATCAGTTGAGAGGAGAAAAGTGTGATATTCAGTATGATATCAGAAGAGAAAATATGCGCTCAACAGATTTTGGCAAATTATTAGAAATAGAAATTTTAAAGAAAGGTTTGTGGACTTTCTCGTTGAAGACTGGTACAACGACGAATTTGCTGAGATATGTGAAGGAAAAATATTCAAATTGAATTCTGATAATTGTTACGTGTACGAAGTTTTCAACAATCTAATGAAATGATCTGTAGAATATAATTCATCTTGTACACATGAAGAAACAGATACAAAGATTGTACACCATATTTGCCAGATGAACACGAACTACCGAGTGACAGTTCGTTGTACCGATTCTGACATACCTATAATTATGTTATCCAATATGGAATTTTTAAAATCTAATGTGGACGTAATTATAGATATGCCAACCAATACAAAAAAGGAATATTTTAATATTAATGATATTTATCAAAATTATGGAGAGCAAATGACACGAGCTCTAACAATATGTCATGTATTTACTGGCAATGATTATAACTCTGCATTTTATAGAAAATTAAAGAAGAGACCATTTGATATTTTGAAGAAAAACGCGAGATACCAGGTAGCCCTCCTGGATCTTTTAAGAATCCCTCCATCGTAAATGAATACTTGAAACCCAACATTTAAAGTCATTGAAGAATTTATTTGTAAAGTTTATTCCTTAAAAAGCAAAGACGTCAACATGGGGCGAGTTGAGCTCTTCAAGAAGGCTTTTGGAAACAAAAATCAGGATGAAATGGTAATAAAACCTCAGTTAAGAGGTCTCGATGCATCAATTATGCTTCCATCTAAAGAAGAGCTATTACAACAAATTAAAAGAACACTTTATGTATGCAGTATGTGGTGTAATGCACATTTAATGTCATCAACGAATTTAAAACCTGAAAATTGTGGATGAAGACTGAAAGAAGAAAAATATTACCGCCGTTGGTTTGATGGCCCTCAGAACCCTACATCTGATGATATATTTTCAAATATATCAGGTAATAATATTTTATGCTTATTATTTATATTTAAAATATATTACTTGTAAAAAAGCATATTCTATTATTATTTCAGATACGCAAAGTCAAAATGAAGAGAACGATGAGGACATTATTAGTTCAAGTGATGAATTGTTAAATAACAGTTCTGATGAAGAATGACAAAAAAAGTTTAATTATTTTTTTTTTATTGTATACTTGCTTAAATACCAGTTATCCTTGTTATACGCATAATTCTCAATAACGCGATTTCATAAATGCGAATTTTTGCATTTCACGCGAGAAATAACTAATTTTTTCATGGGGCGCTCCCGAACCATTTGATTTGTCCGCCAATAGTATTAAACATTAAATAATTATCTAAAAAATGAGCTTTGTACTTAGTCCGACGGTTATTAATAAAATTTAAGCTTTGCCTAATATCTGAAATTTATATAGATTAAATAAATAAAAAAATTGCCATTTTTTGTCGGACTGCATTTTGGGTACATTATATTTATCGGAAACATATTCCATTTAGTATGTGAATCTTTCACAAACCTAATTTTTTTTGTCCGACAGTTATTAATAAATTTCCACAGACTCGTGGAAAAGCCGATTTTCACTGTCGGACGGAAAAATCGGCGCGTACATTTTGTCGGACAATGTAAAAATAGTATTTTTCACGTTATTTTTGAACAATACAGAGAAAATCAACTTGTTATTACTGATTTTTTTTAAGTTTGGCATGTTTAGTTTGGTGGACTCCCTTATGGAACCAAAATTTTTGTCGGACAAGATTTTTTCGGATATTTCACAAGGTCCACTTTTGTATTCATTAAATAGCAATACGTTATTAATAAATTTGAAACATCAGTTCAAAATTACCACTTTTAGATAAGCTGGAGAGAAAAAGCACCCGGTACAGAAAGTGTCCCAAGAGATATTTGGGGGTTGAGGTCTTATGAAGCTATACTGAAAATTGTAGCCTGTTATGTATGAGTGATACATTATGTCGCCTGGCACCCAGACTATAAAAAATATAAAACTTTTTCCAATATTTGTGTTGTACTTTCTTTGTGATTATATCATGATTTATATTTCAGTTTGGATACAGCGAACTTAATTTAGTTAAAATATGTAGAGAAACTACCAAAATGTTAGCTCATCCGCTTTCTCCATATGAAAATGACATTCACACTGAACGCAAATATATAGATGCCGTAGCTATAAAGAAATTTGGACAAGATTTACCTCAATATCCTATCGATTCGTATAATGTGCACATAGTAGCCTCTGATGATTTCCTTAATCAAGAGACCGAATCTTTTCAAATACAGGTAAATATTAAAATATGGATTAGAATTACAAACCATATAAAATTAAGGACCTTTAAGCTAGCGGGGACAAATGAGCGGAATCCAATTTAACCTAGGTAATATTTTTTACCCATTTTCACTATTTTATTACCACCCTAATAATTTTTACCACCAAACTAGCCTTAAGGGGAGCGATTCTGCTAGCTTAAGGATCAAGCTAGCAGAATTCTAAAAAAAAAACTTTTTGCCTGCAGCATATTTTTTCACCTATTTTTCACTTATTTATTACCACCCTAATAATTTTTTACCACCAAACCACCCTTAATGGGAGCGATTTGATTGATTACGGGGTGCCAGTGCACTTATTATCCAGGCTAATTTGAGACATATTTTTATAAAACAAACTTATATATTACTACTAACCTTTTAATTATATCATATTAGTGTGTAATATTTAGTAATTTTTATTAGAACAGTGGATTATAATGAAAAAGTAGTTGATATTCACCAAAATAATAAATTTTGCTCATATAACCTGTTTGATTTATTATAATTTTTTGCATTGAAGTTTGACAGCGACTGTGCGAGGTTGCCAGTTTTTGTGATAGGTTTGTTCCAGTTTTAAATATTTTAAATGATATGTATTTAAACCATGGACGTATAAACACAGATGGACTCAGTTATTTACATAAAATTGTGAAGTCAAAATTATTTGAATATGTCACATTCTCAGCACCTCCAACTGTTGTCACGTTTTTTTATTAAAAATTCTTATTCGCGAGTCGCTGAAAATATTACTCCGTATTTTATACTCTACAGGTGCTATCAAACCAAAATAATAATTTATTGGTTATATTATATATCTAATTGTAATCAAAATATCAAGTGTGCACATAGTGTGCATTATCATTTAATAATAGCGTATAATAGATATCAATAAATTATTTTATATTTAGAAGCACTGAAAACTATTTATAAATGGCAACGGTTGTTTACATTTCTCTGTTTTACGGTTCTACGTCAAACTTCAAATGCTATTTCATGTTTGTTTACAACGATTGAGGAAATAAGGAAAAATTGTTTTTAGATAATTTTGGCTGTATTGTGAGTGATATTTGTGAAAAGTGAAATAAAATAAACGAAATATTTACATCCCGGTCTTTCATTTCATTTGTAAGTACATAAAATTTACATTATTTAGGATGAGGAAATGAAAAAGCGTGTTTGTTTACATTTTAATAGGCGTACCATTGGGTTTATTCATGTTCATTAATGTATTCAATAAGATATAATAAAATTGTATTTTAATTTTTCTATAAAGACGTGATTTGTTAATAGTTAAATTCTCGTTTTTTTTTAATTCTTTGAACGTGTTTTTATACATTATTACTAGGTACTTCCAATTTTTAAAATCTGAATAATTACCCGCGAGTAAAAATTCAAGCTCGCTTATACTGATTGCGGAAGCATCACATTCTATCGAAGCTTCAAAACATTGTGTGTTAAAGGTATCTTATTGCTGTGTCCATCTATGTTTATACGTCCATGATTTAAACAAATTAAAATATCTCTGGATGAAATTTATAAATTGTGAAAACAAGTTTAATTTATGTTTTGCTTATATTTCTGAAAAAAAGAAGTGAATTCTATTATTGATATAAATAATATAATACAAAAAAACGATACTGAATTAGGTAATTCAATATTTGCAAAATATTGAATTACTTAAAGAACAATTTAAATGCAAAGTTAGACAATAGCGACGTCTATGTGTAGTGACACAGAAAAATGGGTTTAAATTAAACCATGGTTTTTGGTCCAGTAAATGCAAAAAAAAAGTATTCTGTATATACAGGTAAATTTTTTGAAGGATTGAGAGTACCACAGCAGGACTCTATTTTATGTAATGTGGTTTTGGGCAAGTCAGACGCCAGTTAAGAGTGCCGCAGAAATAATGAATTTAGAAAAACGATCTGTTATACAGATATATCGGTATTTGCGAGATGTGGTTTCTTGGAAACTTTTACAAGAGGAAGAACCATTTTTATTAGGTAAAATAACAATAAAAAATATGAACATTTAGTTACTTTTCACATTCCTATTATTCCAGGTGGAGAAGGACATACAGTTCAAATTGATAAAAGTGTTGTAACAAAAAGAAAATATAACCGTGGTAGAATAATTAAAGAGCAATGGGTTTTGGGAATATACGATATAGTTTTAAAAAGGGGGTACATAACATATTTAGAAAGTAGGAAAGGAGAGGTATTAGTTGAGATTATTAAAAAACACGTCCGGGCAGGTATTGAAATATGGGCAGACCAGTGGAAGGGATATTCCAACTTAAAAAATTTAGGGTACATTCACAAAACTGTGAATCACTAAATTTTTTAAAGATCTACTAACAGGGGTCTGTACAAATCGAGTAGAAGGGTATTGGTCTCGTCTTAAACAATACCTAAGATGACTTGGAGTGATGAGCTCTCCATTTCTACCAGAATACATCGACCAATTTATGTGGGATGCATTATATGGACGCAATGCTCATGATAGGTTTAAGAACATAGTAGATTGCATTAGACAGAGATAAAACTAGTTTATATATATATATATATATATATATATATATATATATATATATATATATATATATATACATATATATATATATAATATATATATATATATATATATATATATATATATATATATATATAATATATATATATTTATATATATATATATATATATATATTTAAAGTATAGTGTGGTATGATTTTTAGATTAGGTTGAATTAGATTAGCTTAGGTTAGATTTATTTAGTTAGTTAATTATTTATGTAAATTTTCCGAGTCGCTATATATCCTAGTGACTCCCATAGGGCGTCGATTAGCCCTGCTCCGTAGGAGCAGTAAGCTGGATTTATAGTTTGACGTACTGTAGACGTAGACGCACTGGAGACGTAAGAAACGGACTGTAAATATTTTTTCAATTTATAAATGGACGTAGTGGAATTTTTGCGCATGAGTAAAGACAAGAATTGGTGACCCACAACATTCAATATAACCTATAAATTATACAATTATAGGAATCAGAATTCATAATAAACAAAGGGTGTGTGTTTATACTATTGTTTATTATAATATTTTTTTTTATCCTTTTTGCGTGTTAGAATGGATTGTGAAATATACGAAGGTATGCTCCTTGGCGCTGTAGGATTTACTGCTGTGCTGGGTGCAGTAGCATTGCAAAAAACTACAAGGACAATAATAACGCGACCAAGACGTTATAAAACAAGACCAATAAACCGTAATAGAAAAATAGAGAATGCTTATAATTATTTTTTAAAGATGAAGACAGAAGATCCAGATCAATTTTTGGCATATTTCAATATTGGTGCAATGAACATAACCCATTCTTTCTTTTGATTGATCAGACGTAAGAAACGCACTGTAAAAGTTGAAAGTTGACCAACTCTTCCGTTACAGTGCGTTTCGCTTACGTCCCGTCTTGCGTTTACGTTCATTTATAAATAGGAGTACACAAAAGTCTATGTTGATCTTTTTCCAGTGCGTCTGCGTCTACAGTCCGTCAAACTATAAATCCAGCTGTATACCCACTAACATACTTTATGTTAATTAGTTTTTTATTTAGGTTTGGTTAGGTTGGGTTGGTTTAGTTTAGGTTAGTATGGGTTAGCTCAGGTTGCGTTAAATTAGGTTTGGTTAGGTTCCGTTCCTGGGCCATTAGATGACCTGTTTACGCCCGTAGGGCGTCAGTTTATCTTTCTCCGTAAGATATGGGGAATATAGATGATATAGATGATATGATATGATATTTTATCTTATTTTTTTTTTTTTTCATTTAGGTTAGAAAGGTCATTTCACACCCCAGGAAGAAAACTTGTATATTTTATCTTAAAAATATACACAGTTTAATATATTTTATCTTAAATAGTTTTGTTTAATTTAGAATAGATTAAGTTCTCTTCCTGGGCTGTGTGATGACCTAACGACATCTGCAGTTTACCATCTGTCTGCTAGACGTAACAAGACGTTCAATATAATATTTTTACCTTGCACAGGTAACCTCTTAGTATATTACATATAGTTCCAATTATTGTATATTTACCACTGAAGCTAGTATAAAAACATAAAGTGTTCCTCATTTAAAAATGAATCGTTAATATATAATATTATTGAATTGGCAATTTTTTTTATAATAACACCGCCCATTTAAGTTCTTTAGTATTGAGAAGAATTACAGGAATTACGCTCGGAGATCAAAAGATAAGTGATAACATAAGAAAAAAATGTAACTATAGTATTAAATGTATTTATAGTCTATAAATGAATTAACACCAAATAGAAAAAAAAGAATGGAATAACAACATAAGTAGAATGGAGGAGACCAGTGTCTTAAAAATAGCAAGAGATAAGTGGAATGACCTTCCATAGAGGTATTAATCCGCCAATGAACAAGCAGAATTTCTTATAGAGTAATAAGAATTTCAATTCTATAAAAATTTAAGAAAACTTATTTTTTTCTTAAAAAATTGTGTTTAATGATTTAGTAATTTATAAAATTTGTTAAATACAATACAGAATTTATTGATCAGTTTTATTTTACATTATTATCTAGTATTTATGTTTAATTCCTGCATTTATATTATTATTATATTCTGTCTATATTCTTTGGTATTACTTTCAAAAAATATATCATAAAATTTAAAGTAAAGAGAATACTTGTGATACTATACATTTTTATAGATTTGGAAACGTCGCAGTCAACTCTCAATATGGCCGCCCAAAAAGTGTGAAATTTTCAATTTTCAAAATCGTTTTTTATTTAAACAAATGGAAATTCCGCAAATTTTTTTGTTTGAAATAGCTTAAAATAATGTATATTTTCAAGATTTACAAAATTTTTTCCCAAAAGCGCGTGGAGGATAAATGTACCGGAACCTGATTACGGTTTAAACTAGCAGAATTTAAAAAAAAGTTTTTTTAAAGGCATATTTT